AAAATGCCTGCAACAGCCAGGCTGAGATAGGCAGAAGCCAGGAGGCAGGGAGTTAATCCAGGTCTCCCACATGGTGGCAGGGACATGACTATTGCCCACCGCCTCCAAGTGTGCACATCGGCAGGAAGCTGGAATCAAGAGTGGAGCCAGGACTGCAATACAGGAATTGCAGTGTGGAATGCAGATCATCCCAGCGGAGGGAACTGCTCCCCATACAACGACCCCTACCTATATTGTGCTTTTATCTAGAATTTTAAATCTCATTCCATTTTAATATTCTGAGGGAGGTTAAGTGGCATTTCAACCTTATTACATTTAGGATTTTACTTTATTGCTTAAAACACCCACATCCCATGTCAGGTGCCTGGGGTCAAATTCCAGCTCCAGCTCTTGACTCCAGCTTCCTGCTGATGTGGACCCTGAAAGGTAGCAATGATGGCCCAAGTGTTTGGGCCCCCATGTGCGAGACATGTATTGAGTTCCAGTCTCCTGGTTTTTATTCTAGTTCAGCCCCAGTTATTGTGGGTATTTGGGGAGTGACTAAAGGGATGAAAGATCTCTGACTCTCCAACAAATAAATAAAAATAAAAATTTACTACCTTTAGTGATCTAATTTTCTTAGATATTTAAGTATAAAGATTAATCCATGCTTTTTAAAATCTAATATTTTTATTTATTTTCATCTATTTGAAAGGCAGAGGAACTGTCAGTGAGATCTTTGTTTGCCAGTTAGGCCAAGCCAAAGCTAGGAGCCTGGAACTCAATCCATGTCTCTCATGTAGGTGGTAGAGGCCCAACACTTGAACCATTATCCACTGCATCCCAGAATGCAATACCAGGAAGCTGAATCAGAAGAGGGGGAGCTAGGACTCAAACTGCCATTCTAAAATGGGATATGGGCGTGTCAGACGGTGGCTCAACCTGCCACACCGCAATGCCTGCCCCTGGTCCACCCTTCTTGAGCTGACTTCCTTTTCCGGACTACACCCACATTACTCAAAATGCAGTCTGAGTAGCAGCTGCACCAGCAGTAGTTGGGAGCTTGTTAAGCCACAAGTTCTCCACCAAGTCAGATTCTAAGGTGAAGCCGGGAATCTGTTTTAATAAGCTCTGCAGGTGATGCTCACACATGCACAAGCTGGGACTGAAGTCCCTAGTTTTCCATTAGTTGGATGAGGCAAATGCAAGTAGTGGGTTTGTCATGGGTTAAAGACAAGGAGAATAATTGTCACACTTGGAAGAAAAAGAGAAGCAGTCTTGTTTACCAACATTTCCTACATTCCTCTGCCTTCAACATCTACTATTAGCAAATTATTGAGAAGTGGTCATAGCCCTTGTTTAAGTCTTGTATACTTGCCAAGAAATATAATAGTCTCCTAAACTTATTCAATCATGTTTTAAGATACATACGCCTCTACCAAAATCAGAATAACATGAAGCATAGGTAAATTTTAAATTCAACTCTGGTAACTTTTTCTAAAATATCTACTGTATTAGGTTGAAGTAAAAAAGAAAAACACGTTTTACAGACCCTGCCCTTATGACAATTCACAGTCCTATTAGGAAATAGGGTTTTCATACATGAAATTCAGTTAATAACAGTCAATCAAGTTCTAACTACACTCCAGTAATACAGTACATGCAAAAAGCAGTAAGTGCCCTGGATTCTACAGAAAGACATACTGACTACTGAGAGTTTCCTTAAGAAGGAGATATGTTAGTGGTACCTAGACAGTAAGTATCATGTTAATAATAAAATGCCAAAAATGCCACCTGTTAAATGTTTATCATGGATAACACACTGTGTAAAGCAATTGGTGGGGATTATCTCTTCCAATCCTCATGATGTCCTTTCATATACCTGTTATTCTCCAGATAAGGCTAAGTGGAGTTAGGAAACTTTGCCAGAGTTATAGAAGTAGTCCTTTGTGGAGTCAGCATTTGAACTTAAATGTTTACTTACAGAGGTGTGCTTCTTACCCCTTCTGCCTTAATTGCTAGCTCTGATTAAGAGGTTCTGTGGATTGAGAAAGAAGGTTGTGGCATATTGCAGACAAAAGAAACCCCAGAAAGAGTAAACATGAGTTAAACACGCTCCTGGAGCACATTTTCCAGACCAGCGTGCGAGGTTGACATTAGCAAAATATTGCAAACAAAGAACTAGGTTTGAAAAGTTCTTCTATGTGTGCATGAGGGTCTGTGATATAGTATCACAGATATTAGAGAAACATTATACATTTTTAACATACTGAAAGTGATGGTTTATGACTAGACTAACATTAATTAATGGGCCTAATTGGTGACAAATGAAGAGGTATTTTAATAGAACAATCCCCTTAAGAGTGAATGTTATAAACCAGATACTGATAGATAAGAACAATGACAGGAATTTTGGCAGAAGGGAAAGAGAATGAGTGTTAATAAATAATAGAAAATAACATTTTTTCAACATTTTCTCTCTATACTTTTTACTTAAGAGGCAGAGGGACAGACACACAGGGAGAAAGAGGAGATCCCATTCGCTGCTTCACTCCCAAATGCCTACAGTAGCCTCCCATGTGAGTGGCAGGAATGTGATCAGTTGCGCTCTCATTTCTGCCTCCCAGAGTCTGCTTTATCAGGAAGCTACAATCAGAAGCAGAGCCGAGGATCCAACCAGTCCCTCCACCAACATCTTACCCTCCAGGCCAAATGCCCAACCTGGTGAAAGATTCCAGTGCCATATGGCCACAGGGACTAAGGGGAAGACCTTGTAATCTGAGCCTGACATCATAGATTATATTGAGCTATACCAAAAATGTGGAGAGGTGGAGTCAAAAATTATTAGGGCAGTTTATTTTCAGATTGTGAGCTTAGCTCATTCTTAGCTCCCATTTATTCCTCGCCTCCATGCCCTGTTGGCCTCCATGCCCTGCTGATCTTAAAAAAATGTCAGTCCAAGTACTTTTCATTTGTTGTGTGACGGCCATCTTCCAACTGCTGTATGGCAAAAAGGGCCTTTTAAAAGCTCTCTTTATCTTTGCATCTCTTCCTATTGCTTTGCTACACAGAGTTTTCTTTTCTTTTCTTTTTTTTTTAGTGACAGGCAGAGTGGACAGTGAGAGAGAGAGAAGCAGAGAGAGAGGGACAGAAAGTTCTTCCTTTTCCGTTGGTTCACCCCCCAATGGCCGCCACAGATGGCGCGCTGCGGCCTGCGCACCGCGCTGATCCAAAGCCTGGAGCCAGGTGCTGCTCCTGGTCTCCCATGGGGTGCAGGCCCCAAGCACTTGGGCCATCCTCCATTGCACTCCCTGGCCACAACAGAGAGCTGGCCTGGAAGAGGGGCAACCTGGACAGAATCCGGCGCCGTGACCGGGACTAGAACCCGGTGTGCCGGCGCCGCAAGGCGGAGGATTAGCCTAGTGAGCCACGGCGCCGGCCCAGAGTTTTCTTTCTAAAACCTACATTTAAGTATGGAATCTTCGTGCTTAAAAATTAAAAATACCTTTTCCATGCTTTTTATTGCAATATGTACTTGATGTGACATTTCAGATAGGGCATCGGTACAGTGTATTACCTAAGTAAGATTCTAAAGAGATGGAAGATGGGCAAATGAATAATTACAGTGGGACAAAAGGTGGCTGGGATCTGCTTGCTTCTCGAACTGCACTTTCTTCCCGCAGCACTGACTGCACCGGGAAAACCAGAACAATTGGTAAACAAGCTCTGCTCTCTGCTCAAAGGGCTCTACTTGTATTGTTTGCAGCTGTGTTTGCAGTGCCTGGCCCACTGCCCAACACACAGGCACTCAACTGTTTGCAGAAAGACAGAAATGAGAGAAAGAAGAAGGGTAAACCAAAGAATTTTAGAAATGTTTCAGAGGAGTGTGCTATTGTTGTTGAAATAAAGGGACGTTATTGGGGGGAAGCCATTGTAATCCATAAGCTGTACTTTGGAAATTTATATTCCTTAAATAAAAGTTAAAAAAAAAGAAATAAAATAAATTGAAAGTTTGCCATCCTCAGGAAGCCATAGGAAGCCAAAGGAAGGCACAGAGGATTTGGTAAAGGAACATAACAAAGTGAGGTCCCAGAGTCAATACTCTTATTTCATATTTAACATACAACAGGTCCTGGGAGTATGACAGGAGTGCACTTTACCAAAAATCTCCACTACTTGTGTGTCAGGTCGGCAGCTTTTTACTGGAAACACTTCTTAGTTTTGTGAAGCAATCATTCACATTATTGATAAATGCCAGGGTGGAGCTGTTAAAAAGAAGTTTTCTCAATAGCATCTTAGATGTTCTCACAACACTGGAAATATGTAAATGTCCATTTTGTACTTCTGAAAACAGGTGCAATATCTGCGAGAAAAAGAAAATTGTCACAAGCACAAAAACAAAAAGGAAAATAATGAAAGAAACCTGTAATTTAATTTACATGAATGTCAACTTTCTGCACAAACTAGATTTGATGTAATTAAAGCACCTGTAACAAATAAAATGAGTCAGAAAAATCTCTCATTTTTTCCTGAGATAAAACAAGATCAAAAATCACATACAATTTGTGGGAAAGTTAAACTATGCAAAAAAAAAGTATGTGTGTGAATGAGTACAAAAAGGAATTTTCTTTCCTCTCTTAGTTGTTAGCCCAAGAAGGCAAACAATATTTGTGACATTACAAAATAAGGTCCCTCATAATACGTAGATGATATCTACAAATAACTGTCAGTTAAAGTGATCATGAGTGTCCATGAAACAAACATTACGTATGTTTAACAATTTATTTATTTTTGTTTTACAATTTGATTGTCCTTTCCCAACTATAAAGTCATTGGAGGAATTCACTGTCTATGTTTGTTAACTAGAGAAAACACCAAGTTCTTCATTCAAATTTAGAGACAAAGACCACTTGCTCTTGTTGTCCCTGCTGACAGGGGTTTGCCAGCCCTGGCGGTGATACTGGGGCAGTGCCTGGGGAGCCTTTTCTCTTCGTGTGTTCACGTAGGCTGTTTCATTGCAGCTATCTACGAACCTTCCTGCGAAGCCTACAAGCACCTGGGCCAGACGTCAAATTACTACTGGATAGACCCTGATGGCAGTGGACCCCTGGGGCCTCTCAAGGTGTACTGCAACATGACAGGTAACTGTGTCATAGTCATGTTTTATAAAGATGGCTTCTCCATGGGCTGAGGATCAACAAGTCCATGGATGCCCTGTTTCTTCAGTGCTGAATTCTTAACACTACATTTAAGGAGCTAAATATTGCTGGCTTTGTTACCTAGAACGTGAGATGCATCTCTAAAGCAGTAACCTGACACTGTGTATTTTGAAAATTCTGCCTTTGACTTAAACAATTACTGGTTTGCATTGCAACACATCAGTATGTAGGGGAAAAACCCAAGTGGGTTAACAGAAAAATCTAGTTCTTGAAGCAGCCTCCATGAGTAATGGAGACCAGGACAGTTTCTTGTCATTGCTCAAACTCCTCACTTCCCCAACAGTGGATACTTAGACACTGTGCCAGACCTGCCTCCATTCCCCACAGTGGAAGAACCTTTGTGGGTATTGCAGTGCAGTTCTAGCAGTGGCAAAGATTACCAGAAGGTTTCCTGAGATTTATTTGGAGCTTTCTACTAGGAAACATAACCTGGTTTTTCTTTACTTCCACATCAAATGTCAGAGTCATGATATTAGATTGTGGATTCTTGTAAACTGCCACAGTAGTGTGTGGAATAAAAGCAGATCTTTCCATCAGGCACTTGGAATCCTCCCCCAAATAAGGAAAAGGGCATGAAACTTTCAATATTTACTGACTTCATGAGAGAATCAGTATTTGGTGTGTGTACCATCGTCAGATGGTAGAATTAGTGAAATTATGATGCTACTAACAATGATTGCCACATATGACTCTATGCCATGCAACATAAAAATGGGATTAAATATATTTGTTTTGGTGCAAAAAAATTTGAATCTATATATATATATATTAGGAATATTCACATAGTTATTGGAAAATGTTATTGGAAAATGGATTTAAAAACAACTTGGCATCGAAATAATCTTTTAATTCCATTTTTTCCCAGAAACTTCTTAAAATCCCTAGATTTTCATTAAGATCTCTTTAATATTCAGGACTAGAGTTTAGCCCATTAATCCAGATGTTGTCCCAGGAGGAAGGAATATGGTATAACTTTCTGCAGTTAAAACATTCTTTAATTCATTCAAAATAGTTATGAACATGTGTATGTCCCAAACCACTTGAAGAATTTTGTCTTACAGGCCAAGAGGCACTTTTTAGCCCTTTGTCACTCATCAATCATTTCATCTTCTGGAAAGGACACAAAGTGAGCCGCGGCTCACTAGGCTAATCCTCCGCCTTGCGGCGCCGGCACACCGCGTTCTAGTCCCGGTTGGGGTGCCGGATTCTGTCTCGGTCGCCCCTCTTCCAGGCCAGCTCTCTGCTGTGGCCAGGGAGTGCAGTGGAGGATGGCCCAAGTGCTAGGGCCCTGCACCCCATGGGAGACCAGGATAAGTACCTGGCTCCTGCCTTCGGATCAGCGCGGTGAGCCTGCCACAGCGTGCCAGCTGTGGCGGCCATTGGACGGTGAACCAACGGCAAAGGAAGACCTTTCTCTCTGTCTCTCTCTCTCACTATCCACTCTGCCTGTCAAAAAAATTTTAATTTTTTTTTAACTTTTATTTAATGAATATAAATTTCCAAAGTACGACTTATGGATTACAATGGCTTCCCCCCCATACCGTCCCTCCCACCCACAACCCTCCCCTTTCTCACTCCCTCTCCCCTTCCATTCACATCAAGATTCATTTTCGATTATCTTAATATACAGAAGATCAGCTTAGTATACATTAAGTATGGATTTCAACAGTTTGCTCCCATACAGAAACATAAAGTGAAAAATAATAGATGATTTTTTTTAAATGATGAAATCAGAGCAGACTTATTGTCATGTTTAATCCCAGTGAGAGTCAAGTTGGGAATTGATAATTTCTTTTTTTTTTTTTTTTTTTTTTTTTTTACAGAGGATCAGTTTAGTATGCATTAAGTAAGGATTTCAACAGTTTGCACCCCCATAGAAACACAAAGTGAAATATATTGTTTGAGTACTCATTATAGCATTAAATCTCCATGTACAGCACATTAAGGATAGAGATCCTACATGAGGAGTAAGTGCACAGTGACTCCTGTTGTTGACTTTACAAATTGACACTCCTGTCTATGGCATCAGTAATCTCCCTATGCTCCAGTCATGAGTTTCCAAGGCTATGGAAGCCCTCTGAGTTCTCCGACTCTTATCTTGTTTAGACAAGGTCATAGTAAAAGTGGAGGTTCTCTCCTCCCTTCAGAGAAAGGTACCTCCTTCTTTGATGACCTGTTCTTTCCACTGGGATCTCACTCACAGAGATCTTTTGCCAGAGTGTCTTGGCTTTCCATGCCTGAAATACTCTCATGGGCTTTTCAGCCAGATCCGAATGCCTTTAGGGCTGATTCTGAGGCCAGAGTGCTATTTAGGACATCTGCCATTCTATGAGTCTGCTGAGTATCTCACTTCCCATGTTGGATCACTCTCCCCTTTATTTACTCCATCGGTTAGCGTTAGCAGGTACTAGACTTGTCTATGTGCTCCCTTTGACTCCCAGTCCCTCCACCATGACCAACTGTGAACTGAAATTGATCACCTGGAACAGTGAGATGGCATTGGTACATGCCACCTCGATGGGATTGAATTGGAAAAATTTTAAAGAATGGCATATCACGAAACTTGGCTTGGGCTACTGCATTCCCAAGAGATACATGTTCAAGAAAAACGAGAACAGCACAATATATTTTTTAACATCTTGATGTTTCACTTTAATGTATATGTGCCCCAAAACCTAAAGTATAGAAGCCGTCAAAGCACTCAAAAAGGTGAGGAAAAGAAATGAGCCCCACAAATGAATGCCCCAATGCATAAAAATGTCAGGTTTATTCCAAAGAACTGACATCCCAGTACCTGCAGCACAGTGAGCCCCAGAAAGGAGTTCAAAATGATGTGGGATGATAGGCAAGGGCCAGAGCAAACCAGCAGTGAGAACTGTAATGGAGAAAGACTTTGGTTTTAATTATTCTTCAATGGGTGGAATTCATAAAGACGAGAGATTTGAATCAGGAAGATAGGAAGATCTTGATTGCAGTTAAAAACCACCTCGTGGGGTGCCATGGGAGACCAAGTGAAAACAGCAAGTCCGTAGCTGTTATGAAAATCCAAAGAAGAGATGAGACTCCCTTGGACTAAAACGGGGCCAGTGATGAAAAAGCAATAGATTTTAGATATATTTTAAAGGTAGTAGTTAGGGACTAGATAAAAAGGTAATAGTAGTTATGAATAACAACTCTTAAGTATCACGGTGCCATTTAAGAATGTGGAAACGTAAGGGAAGAACAGATTTAGAAGACTCAAGAATTCAGTTGTGACCTAGTTAAATATAAAGTGCTATATGCTAACTAAATTGAGATGCAAATATTGCAGTTGAATAAACCCCAAAATCCTGTTTGGGTTAAAGATAGAGATGTGCTAATTGTTAACATATGAATATATGGGATTTGATAACATCACTTAGAGGATGATGTTAACAGAATAGAGGCATTTTAGGAATCACCTATTCAAAATTTAGTAGGTAGAGGTCTGGTATCTTGTGACAAAATAGTCAAAAATTCTGTAGGAATGAGCACACACACACACACACACACAAAGGAAAATGCTGGTTGTTAATGGATCATCCCTGTGGATGTTGAAATGACTGTTTGGGTCCTAAAAAGTGTTAAGATGTTTCAGTGTGGACAGTGACTTTGAAAAATTCAAAAGTGTATCAAAGATGCAGTGGAGGGGGCCAGGGGTGTGCCATAGTAGATTACATTTCCACCTGGGGTGTTGGCATCCCATATGAGTACAGGTTCAAGTCCTGGCTGCTCCACTTCCTATCCAGCTCGCTGCTAATGGCCTGGGAAGGCAGTGGATGATGGCCCAAATAAATAAATACATCCTTTAAAAAAAAAAAAAAGATGCAGTGGTATACCAGAAGTATGGCAAATTATAGCAACGAGGATCCAGGGAATGCAGTATGGCCAAAAGTGATGAAACTTCTTTCAAGCCTGTATGGACAGCTTGGATGGGGGAACCATGGATTGAGCTACATCTCTTGGAAATTAGGGGGTGCCTTCAATGATCAGCTTTTCAAGTGTTGCACAGTTGACATTGAAGAGAGGATATATTCACTTGGTGGAAGAATTCATCACTCTATAAAAGTGAAACCTGGTCTTGTTTTAAATCTTACAGCATGCTGTAAATATGGTCATGGTTATCCTTGTCTTCTTTTTCAATTTTTATCTTCTCTCTATTATAAATTTTATGAATGTATAACATCAAATTTTTAGTATTTACCTCTCTTGGTTGTACATTTGTTGTGATATTTTAACTTCTTATTTTCTTCAGTTATTTAACAACATTCTGTCCCTAAAAATCTTGACCTTTCATATTTAGAGTTTTTATTTAGTTCTTTGTGACCAATGATTAATAATAATAATAGTAATAATAAAAATAACGCTAGATCCAGCCATTGTCCTTGGAAGGGTACAGCCTATTCTTATATCAGAAAACACTGTTTTTCATAATATTCTATCCTTTAATTCATTTTCTCTATAGCTCTTTTTGAATTCATATTTAATTTTTAAAAAATTTAAGTAAGCATCTGTGCTCCAGTGTGTGAAGTTGAAAGTGCAAATAAAAAACACCTCTTACATTTTTCCTAGCACTGGGTTTGTAGTTTTATCAGAAAGCCATTAAGGTTGTTTACATAATTTGTGCTGTATAAAGCCCTGGGATTTAGCTGATCAGATTCTATTATCCTCTAGAATGGTAAAACCTGTTCATGTCTTTTTAATCTAATATTTATAGAGAGATTGTTACTCAAGTTTTTAAGCACTTGTACTGGGTAATATTGTTTTATTTATTATTATACTTCTCACAAATTTCAATAATGCAGTGTGGGTAGGCAGAGAGGGGAAAATGGACCTCCATGTTAGTTATCTTGGGCTCTGGGGCAAGCATCATAAAGCTAGCCATTCCTCGTCCCCCACCTCTC